TAGTCAGTCATGTTATTTTTTATTATTAACCCTTTTTTACAGGAGTCTATGCACCTGGCGAGTCAGAAAGTTGGAAATATTTTCAAGAAGTGATTTGATACATTTTTGTGTGTTTCGACATTAAATTTGTTTCGTGTGTAATGTCTTTGTGTTTTACTGTAACGAATTCTGTTGTAGAATAATAAATATATGAAATAATAAGTCAAGAAAAAACAAAATTGCCTGTTTGTGGGACAAGCCTTTACGTGGCAAAAAGGATAAGTAACAAAAATTGGTGAAACCAATATGTCCTTTAATTTAATTACCTGTACGAATTTACTTTACACCCTAATCCTCTTAAATTTTTGTTCCATTAGTTGCACTGTGCAGCAAAACTGCAAACTGCTTCAACATGTTGCCAAAATTGCTCAGTATGTTAATTACTTAATTACACCTACATGTACTTATGTTTGCAAAATGCACTTTATACAATGATGAAATATTATGGTGATGAAATACAATAATGATGAATTGCTATAATGTTGAAATGTGCAATGATGAATTGCTATAATGATGAAATGTTACAATGATGAAATGTTACAATGATGAAATGTTACAATGATGAAATGTCTCGTATGATGAGATGTCAGGGAACCAAGTAAATTGTACATTACTGAGTCTTGAGAATAAAAATGTCTGTAGTATTACGGAGTATTATATGAAGATGGCTGTAAGTAGGTACACATGTGTGTTTTCCATAATATGTGATAAATATGTAACATATTTATCACAAATTATAGAATATACATGCACACACACCAAAGTAAAACGAAAAAATTCGGACAAACAGAAGCAATAGAAAATTGTTAAGAAATGAGAAAGGAAAAGGAAAGTGGGAATAACAAAATAAGCATATAAGACTAGAAAAATACTTTTGTTCCGCCAATGTGGAGCCCAGAATTGATTTTTTAAGTAGAAATTTATCGTGTTGGTACATATGAGATTTTAAAGTCTTTGCTTTAAATCTATTAAAATTTTACCTTACCTTTATTTTTTATTTAGGGTTAGTGTAAAATTTAGTATTTAGGCAGAATTTAATACTTACCAAGAATAATAATTATTTTTATTTTATATTATTTTATACTTATTATTTTTTTATAATTTAGATTCGAAGAACAATAATTATAACCTAGTTGAATATTATAGCCGCTTTTCAATTCATTTCAACTTTTACAAAGTTATATCTAGATATTTGGCAATGTTTAAAACATAATATTTTACAAAGTATTTAATGTTAATAATATATGCAAAAGGTATTGCGATTGGGCTAAATTCTTCGATTTTTTTTTATTAATAAAATACAATATTCAGCTGAAAAGAAATTCAAAAGTTGTCCGTCAAAATTCTTTTATATTAATTCCTGAAAGAAATAACTTGTGACACTTTAACTGTTAATTAAAAAAACTTGATAATATAATTATAATTATAATATAATTATAATAATTATAATTATAATAATTCTAACTATAATATAATTATAATAAAACTATGTAATTATAATTTTAAAAACAATTTCAAATTACATTTTAATAGTTTGGTGCCTTCTACATATACCATAAAATGTGGCATTAAATAACGACAGAGCATGATGGCTGTTTACATATGAAACTGAAATTATTTTTTTATTTATATTCAAATGCATACGTACATATACATACATACTCGTACGTCAAAGGTTGAAAAAAGTATATCCAAAATAAAAATCAGCTGATAGCTGTTCAAAATTCCACAAAAAATTTATTGTCGTCACTTTTTACTTTTAAAAAATCTAACAATAAAGCTAATGAAAATACAAAAATGTCTATTATTTGCAGGCAGGCAAAACCTGATGTCAAACAGCGCTTTCATATACAACATCTATCAGAATCAAACGAAATATTAGATGTGTAGTATTTGTAGACAGTACCGTAAATATAAAAAATTTAAAATTATTCCACTCGCAGTTCTCAGATATTTAATTATACATATAATATTTTATTATTGCTTTTTTAAATCTGATAAAATTTTTTTATACAATTACACAACAGTGTAATTTTTTGTACAACAGTGTCTTGACGTACGCAGTGTCTTCACGTTGGTAAATGATCTAGATTTTTTCACTAACATTTGTACCGAAAGTATGTCATTTAATATTGATTCGAAATATCTATGCGCATCATGTGATCTATAAAAGCTCCATTTTCAGAACCCACTGGAGGTTACAAATATAAACCTTGCTTCCCACGCTATTGCTGACCTTATTATGAGTTAGAAAGTTTCGAAAGAACACTTTTTTCCTGATCATCGTTACATGGAATTTAAATCCATTGTTACGCAGAAACCGAAAAGGGGCCGAGAGGGATATTTTGACGAATTCCTATAATAATCAACCTTGTTCTACTTCACATTTTTTACAGATAATTCATTTTTTACAGTTTCTTAATAACATTAGAGTGCAAGTTAATTTAATATTTAGCTTTCATATTAGTAATCCTAGAAGACTTAAATTATTCAAATATTTTACTGGAATATTTTCTTGCAAACTGTCATGTTCTAGAAATATCAGGTAGTATATTATTTGACAAAAGTGAATTTGGTTCTTCAATAGAAAAGTTTGTTTTAGTAGGTAATACTTTAAAAATAACTTCTTTACCTATACTTAAAAAACCGTTGTCTAAAATCGGGATCAGTGATAGCTGGCATATCCCAGTCTAGTTTAAAAATGGTAAATATCTTTTAATTGTATTTTCGATAACAGTACTCCCAAATTATATCTACCAAGAAGTAACATTGGAATGTATGAAAGTAGTAGTTATAAATTTAAAATTTCATACTTTTTTATACAGTACATAGCTATTCAAGGTAGATATACAATATGATGTAGTAATAACTAATAATGTATGTACCTGTTTATATGGCTGCTTCAAGCTTATTATTGTCCACATAAATGTTACTTGACCTGAAGCCGGCTTCATTCAAGTCGCTTACTTGACTTGAAATGTTAATAATGATTTGAAATAGTAATTTAGTGATTTAAAATATGAATTTCGTAAAAGCGCAGCTTGAGTTTCGAGCTCATTTCACATCAAGTACTCTTTCACGTCAAGCCGGAATAAAGACGAGGCATAGAAATTAAGCAATTTATAAAAAAAAGTCTTTTACCGATACTTAAAACAAAATTAAAATAAAAATAAAAAATTCATAGTTTATATTACAATAAATGTAATGACAATTACTAATTACATATTTTAATTTTTTTTTCAATATTATTTGTCTTTTTCAAATTACATACATACTCGTATAATACGTAAATTATATTTTTTTTTTATTTTAATAGTCAAATTTTGTTTTTAAAATCGCTTTCCCTTTCCAAAAATTCCTAAAATAAGAATTTAAGCATAAAAACGAAAATAAGAAGAGATACTGCTTGAATCTTTAAGCTAAGGGAATTTTTAGTATACAAATATTGGTGATTGATTGCATTATTGTGATGTAAACGGAGAGTCGAACTGTTTCTTGATAGATATACGTGCTGCAAAGTATAACCTTTTCGTAAAACTGGTAAAGATTGGCGAACCTAATTAAAAAATTTATCTCCAAAAAGAAGTTTGATATCAACATTGAAAAACCAAATCAAAAATTTTACGCGCTGCTTCTGTTGCTATGGCCCCTCATCCCAGGTAAGCGAATATAAATTTTAAAAATTCTCTTTTATATTGAGAAACTCTAGGAAATTTAACTGCAAAAATCTAAAGGTAAACTAAATGCTGGATGACAAGTCATTCTCTCAGGGAACAGTCCTTTTTTTTATTCCATATAACAAATAATGTTTTGAGAATTAACAGCAGTATCTCTGCAATTCGACAATTTACGAATGTCACATTGTCAATTTAGAATTCCTAAAATTCTGCTCAGAATATTCGTAATAGACTATTTGTAGTAAAAATTTCAAAAGTCTACAAGTTTGTTTAAATTTCAAAAAGTGATAAGAAATAATCACACATAACAAGCAATTTAAAAAGGATGGTCGTTTAAAATTTTCAAGTTTTGAATTATTCTCTTTTTTCTTTTTCCTCTAACACAGCTACCACGAAGGAAAATAGATTCATATTAGCTAAATTTTTTTTTCACTTTTCAAAAAAATTCAAAAACTAAAATAAATGCAACTCTTCTTTTAAATAATATACTTTTATGTAAAACTTTTTTTAGTTTAAATATCACAGCTGAAATAAATTTTGAAAATTCAAAAAATGGTGCTGCCATTGTTGATTCATATCTCTACGAGTGATTCATAAGGTTTACGTTGTAACCAACTAAGTAATTCTACGAGTGAAATTCATGACAGGGTTGTAGATTAAGTTTTTCAATCGATGCACGATATAAATATGTTTTACCACTACTTCCTGGAACATCAATACAAAAACATTTTTGTATATTTGTATTTTTGACGAGTCGCGTTATAGTATCTGCAGCTGAAGTTTTAGTTTATTCTATAACATATCAGCATTATTGTCAAGACCTACATTATTTGGATTTTGGTCACAGTTTATAATATCTTTTAAATTAGTTAACTAACGTTATTCACAAAAGTCAAAACTAATGTTTTCAGTTTGTGTTTTATACCTAAAATGCACAATTACAAAGATTGGTCGTTATTGTTTCGTTGATAGAAATCATCCATCAACTTAAAACTTTTTCCAAGGTTTCAATGCAAACATTATTTCATACCATTTGGGACTACACGTAAAGGTGATAAATAGATCTGACAAACCAAATTTTCTCACCATTACCATCTTATCTTGATGTAAATTAGACATAAAGTGTTGATTTTCAAAAATTATTATCGCTACCTATGTTATTAATGTTTTTTAACAGATCTTCATAAGATTCCATGTATGGATAACATCTTACTGACCTCATGTTCTAACTACATTTGGTATTTATTAATTTACTTTAAATTAAATTCAACTAAATATACTTGCCCCATCTTCACCATTTTCTTGACTATTGTCTTTTTCAGGATATACACCAGCACGAAGGAAAGACGCTTTCCAAGAATCCACTTCATCAACATTTTCGCATGATAATTCAAGTTGTTTGTAATCCTGCAATTTAAATATAAATCAAATTACTTAAACATGGCGAAAATGTTATGAAACATCAATTTTTACCTTATAAACATTGCGCCCATCGGGACTAAATAGAGCGAAAGTGTGCCTACGTGACATAAAGCCTTGTTCAATATCTCGTAATTTAAGACCATCTAAAGGGAGCATAAACTTTTTTTCTTTCTCATCTTCATCCTTAAACCAAGAAATACTTTCGGATGTTAGAACAAACCAATAAGGACGTGATCCCCCTGAAATGAAAATTGAATTGTGAAATAACATAAATTAAAATACCAATAAGCAACGGTCATTATAATTTTCATTCTCAAAAGAGATATCAGATAGCGAAAATAAAAGTTTGCGAAAGTCATATATATAAGGTGATTCAGTAGTTAGTGCTTTTACATATATTATTGTTTAGGCATTCTTAAATGGGTAATATTTTTTTGTTTGGGGTCAAATTTCAACGGTTTCCAGGATACAAGAACTTTAACGCATTTTCACGACATTTCTAGTTGCAAGTTTTTTTTTGCTTATAACTTCCATTCAGAAAAAGATGCTTTAAACAACGAATTCTGAAAAGGGCTACAAAGCCCTTTTAATTTAATTAAATTGATTAAAAAGTTTGTAATCAATTTTCTATCAATTTTATATATGAATTTATTAATCACTACTGAAGCAGTTTGTTAGTATATTTTTTTATCAATCCCTTTATAACGGACTTTTACGAATTTTAATATCCCTAATACTTTAAACGATGTTAAAGGTACTGGCAGTACTAATTTGCTTATGAAAATGAAAAATTTCTTAATATATTAGTAAATGTAATTGGGGTGTTTACACATAAAAAACTACATGAACAAAACAAATATGAGAAAGGATACTTATACGAGTTTAATAATTTAGAGTTATAAGACTAAACGTAAACTTAGTACGTATGTATATTAAAATTTACAAGGAAAGTAAAATTTATTTTGTAATATTTATTAGCACAATGTAAATTTTATATGAGCCGCAAAGATGGTATAATCATTAAATGTATATTTTTCAGTAAACCATTTTGAATTGCTCTATAAAGGCGAATTGCCAACTTTAACTGTCTGATGTCTGTACATAAGATAACATTTAAAAAAAGATGGATTGTTCTCAATAAGGTGCAAATAATTTAATTTCCTCAAAATAACTTCACAATAAACGTAGTCAACTGTCTTCTTGAAATCAACAAATAAACACGCGAATTATGTACTTATGTGAATTGTATAAAATACGTACATATGTATAAAATTAAGTATGCCTTATATTAATTAATAAAGTATATAATCTCTTATATATTTATTTAATTACATATATTCATCTCCTTTCTTAATAAAAAAAATACATTAGTTAGTTACCTACTTAACTAAAGAATTTTTCAAAATTTAAATATGTGCATATTATGTATATCAAAATTTCAACTCATTAATATATTTGAATAACAAAGAAAAAAATTAATAATAACTAATGAAAAAGCATTATTTTCAATAATAAGATGCCGTGACGATTTATTAAATATCATTTGAATAAAAAAACAAAAAAAAACTGAAAAACAAGAAAAGTCTCTCTTGCGGTATAAACCGATTGAACTATACACTGCACCTTTCATTGTTGTATAGCAATCTGTGACTCGAATCTGTGAAATCATTCTATAAAAACCTTACGGATATATTTGACCTCAAATTGGACACACGACTGCCAAGTTTCGTGAATCTAACTCTATTATTTTCTGGAATATTTAAAATTTGGTTTTGGAATTGTATGGCAGCTACCCAACCAGTGAAGCCATTCAATTAAAATTTTCAGGACATATATAAAATGTAATTGGACACACGTATACAATTTCATTTTTATATCTTCATTAGTTTTTGAAATATTTAAAATAAAATCTTTGAATTGTATGCAGCTACCCGAACCCGTTGCCCGAATCAGCACAATTACAATAGCAGCCGTCCTTGGCACAAAAGAAACAATTTTTGAAAGTTTGATTTCGACTGCAGATTCGACATTATAGGACAGACGGGCAGGCGGACATGTCCTAATCAATGCAGAAATTTACACTGAGGAAGAATACATATACATATCCATACCGCAGATGACTCCTTCAAATGATTACAAACTCCATACCAAAGTTAATATACCCTTTACAAGGGAAGAAAAGCAAAATTTTTTTTCCTTTAATAAAAAAGTTTCATTAAAATTGAAAACTTAATTACAAAAAAAATAAAAAGCTGCTGATGGGAATGTTCGTAAGACCAGACTTTAACAGCACTGCAGAGCACGGGCGGTAAATCCAGAAGCGTCTGACCTAGAATAGGAGGCTCCGTGGTCTGCGTCTGATCCCTGAGGAACGGCAGTCTTTGAATCCTGGCAGTAGGTATAAAATGCAAAATTTAATCATTTGTGCAATGGAGAAAACAAAAGGATTTAGTATCCAAAGTAGTAATCCAACTACGTTGGACAATGCACCCTCTTCGGAGGTCGGCTCTACGAATTCTGGGGAGAGCAATTTTTTGCATTTGATTGATCCGTTCAGGAGGAACGCGAAAACTAGGTGTTCACCACCTACATCTGATGTGCACATTTTAGAAAAGAATAAAAATATAGAAGGCGGACTACCGAACACTCAAGCTCCACAGACCAATAAGGATATAAACATGAGTAAAGCTCAAGCCAAAAAAAGTGATGATCAGAATGCTGACATACATAAAGGGATTAGCCAACTAGAACAGCTCTGTGTGGCTTTGAAAAACGAGGTTCTTCAACAGAGGGCTGAGAATGAAAAGTTAAAGAAAGAGAAACATATGCAAATTACAAACCATTAGTCTAATGATAGTACTCATAAAGAAAAAGACGGTGCACTACAAGCAAAGCAGGTGAGGTAAATCTTAGACGCCTACTCAACAGATGAGGAAGAACTCGCCAGAGAAACAGATTGGATCCTAAAGTAAAAGAGGTCCAGTAAAAAAATAAAAGCGGAATCATCTCCGGAAGTGGTCCAGGCGACGAACAACGCTGAAAAAGCGGATGTTCCCGATTCTAAAATTCGAGGCGATGTCACGGAAAACCCTAGGCCGCCTCCAGTAGTCATAAGTAATGTGGGTGACAATAATCAAATAGAGTCCACATTAAAAAATAAGGACATCAATTATAAGGTTAAAATGATGAATAATAATCAATTTAAGCTTATTGTAAATTCCGAAATGGATTACAGGAATCTTACCAGGGTCATGAATGGATCTAGAATAGAATAAAAGTTATGGTAAGAAATCTTCACCCCAGCTGTAAACCGGAAGATATAAAAGAAGACTTAAGCTCTAGGAGTTACAAGATCTTAGATGTAATCAATAAAATTAAAAAAATAAAAGGGAAAAACATTATAGTACCTCTTCCGCTGTTTATGTTAACATTCTCAAATGTCGAGGAGATGAAAAAAATTTATGAAATCGATCACATTACCAGGATGAAAGTTAGGATAGAGACACTTCGAAAGGATAGGACCACCCCGCAGTGTAAAAGGTGTGAAAGGTATGGACACACACAAAAATTTTGCCAGAGAGAACCAAATTGTGTTGAATGTGCAGGCAGGCACTTAATGGCAGATTGTAGTAAGCCAAGGAGTACTGCAGCAAAGTGCTCCAATTGTTTGGAGGCCCACCCAGCAAACTATAAAAACGTAGAAATAACAACAGCAACAACAATTTAAAGAAGAATTCCGACCGGCCACCGAGGAAATTCACCTCGACAATAGTCTAAAAAGCTGTAAAATACGAGGACTTTGTAAAATACGAATATAGACGTCTGCCTCGTAACTGAAACACATATGACCTTAAGAAGCAGGATTCAGTTTCCAGGTTATTGAATTTACAACTCCAACCTGGAAATATAGCGAAAGGCGGAAAGGGGATAATAATAAAATAATTAGTGCATTGTGATCTGCACCAGATGCAAACCGAGGGAATGCAAATGACGGTTCAGATCGCTTCGACTAAGCTAAAATTTGTGTGGCTACATTATATTGTCACCCAAAATTTAAAATGACGGCAGAGATGTTTCAAAGCGTTCTACCCGACCTAGGCGATAGATTTATATTGGGGGTGACTTTTACGCCAAGAGTACTGATTGGGGTTCAAGGCATAATTCAACTAGAGGAAGAGAACTTAGGACAGCAATTGGCGGCACGGGATGCCTTTTCAATCTACTGCGAAGCCAACGTATTGGCCAACTGATGCTAATAAGTGTCCAGATTCAATAGGTTTCTTCATAACAAAACGGATTGCGAAAAATTTCATTTAGGTACATGATAACAATCTTAACTCCGATCATTCAGTGGTTATTCTTGAACTTAACGAAAATATTGTAATGAAAATAGCGAAACCTGCGCTGACAAATAGAACTACAGATTGGTCAAGATTTCGCTTAGTGATTGAACAATAAATATATCTAAGGAGAAGAATAAGAACGACCCAGCACATAGATGAGGAGGCCAAAAACTTTACTAAAATTATTCAAAATGCGGCTTAGAGTAGTTCGAAAATTAATGCTATTAGAAGAGGCATTAGCTACCCCCCATATACTACCATAAGTGAGGCAAAGTAGGCGGAAGAGAAAGAGTTGGCAACAAACGCTTGACTCTACTGATAAAGCTAGATATAATAGTGAATCGCAACAATTAAAACGCTGTATTAGAAAATACATGGAGGATTCGGTTGCCAATTATGTTCAAAATTTGACGGCGTGTGAGAAAACCAATCACTCACTGTGGACTGCGCATGACAGTCAGGGCGTGTATGAAAATGAGGAATCTGCTTTTGTTGGGGATAGCGTGACTATTCCAATTGTCATGGAAAGAGATGTTATAGACTTTTAAACCTAAAACAGCCCCGGCATTTGACCTAATAACAGCCGATATTTTGAAAGAATTACCCAAAGGGGGTATAACGATGTTTACGCGCCTAATAAATGCGTGTATAGGGTTTAATTACGTGTCTGACATTTGGAAAGATGCAGAGACAATCATGCTGCACAAACCTGTCAAACCTATAGACAGGCCGACTTCTTATAGACAATCTCATTGTTACCGATGATTTCTAAACTGCTAGAGAAACTTTTATTGAGAAGACTTCAGCCTATATTTGAAAGTAAAAAGTTAATCCCGAATCATCAATTTGGTTTTCGCCGGAACAACCTAATAGAAAATTCACTGGGAGAAAAAACA